AACATGCGTTTGCTGTTATTCTAACCCCACATTTTAAGAATTATTTTCACGTACTTATAAATAAAAGTAAACAATTTTATATGTAGGACTAAGCAAGTAAATGTTATAAGAATATTTACATGTGGAATTATATATAAAAAAGTTAGTATTTTCGTAGATTTCAGTACCTAAAACCTTGATGGTTTGATCGTTTTTTGCACCTGTTTATTCGTTTTACTGCGGCGTCTTTGAAAATAACCAGATGGCATGACATAACATTCCTATTATTTGATAAGCTTTAGATTATTCAGTTATTAAATGTGTAAAATTATTCGTCTTTGTGGAAAACACTATTTAAAGAATATGGGGCCCTTAAGAAGTAATGAGATGGCACGCGCGCTGAGCGGTTTATATATTACCCCCAATAAGCAACTAGGATACTCTCGATCTTACGAGAGTGCTTCAAATGTTTATCTGCTTGTCTCTTTTTAACGACTATTTATGACTCGATCTGTGGCGTTCCACTGCGCATGCGTACGCTTAATAATATTATTTATCGATTTGGATTGATATCGTTATTTGAATTTTCTGAATCTCTCGTGGGCCGGATTGAAGCTGCTCGAGGGCCGGATCCGACCCGGGGGCCGGGGGTTACCCATATATGAACTAAAGCATATCGCAGTGTTAATGAACCTTTGGGTAGATACATAATCACACCGTCGACTACTATCCCAAGGCCAAGCTATCACCCCCATTCAAAATTACACGCTATAGATACATTTTGCAAAACACTAAAATAAAAAATAGGTACGCGAAATTTACGCCCCTCCTTCCGCTATGTAAACTTAAAATTTTATTAGAAATATTTCCGGTATTCGTGTAACCGGCCAATTTGTACATCTTAAAGCATATTATTTGCCCTTTACTGTTAAATCCGACAACGCAATATAATGGGACCGATTAATGCCAACATGCGATTTCGCCACGGAAATATGGCATAGCGGAGCCTTTCAAATGGCCCCCTTATCTTGATATCCTCCAAATTGCCTCAAAGTTAGTCGTCAAGTAAATTCGTTTTAAACTGACTTGGGAGCGTTTGAATTTTAATATAGGTCCGGCTTCGCCTCAGACCTGATTTAAACGTGAAAATAACTCACCTTGGGAAATAATTGGAAAAAACTGATATCGTTCAGGGCTTGAGTTAAGATGTTCTTATCTGAAATAGAAATTCAAGTTAATATCGACGATCGATACATTTTTACAGCCTATAGCATAAAAGAAGTACGCGCCATTATTCCATGGCTAGAAATTGGCCTCAATGATTTGGGATCGAGGGGGATTATCCCTCTTTATCCTGCCACATCTCGTGTAGGCCCGGACAGCCTTCGTAGGTGGGCCCCATCCGTCGTCTACCCCGACCGCAAATGNGAACTTTTGTTGGGATTATAAAAGAAGTATACGCAGTTTAATTAAGGAGGAATCGGGTGTTTCATCTGGAGGGGTGGTAAACCGGGACGCGGGGGGCCCCTAGTATTTTGAGATATTCGCTTGTAGATATTGAATAAAATCGAGTTTAAAATACTTAAAATTATATATTTCCATTTCTCAGATATTATTTTTTACCCAATATACATAAATAAATGGCAAAAGTTGCAACAGAAACTTGGCAACAACGCACGAGTATGCTGACTTTATTATTTGTAAGTTGGCACTTCTTGTCATGTATATACAGGGATGGCCAGAAGTACGGAATAAAATTCATATCTTTTGAATGAGTATTTTTTTTAAAAACGCCGAAACACGTTAACTGATTTTTATTTTTTCCCATCTCGGTTATAACGAGCGTTCAAATAAAAACGTGGTCATGTTGGTTCTGAAAATTTGGACGTAGGGCGTAGCGTATGGCAAATGAACTTAAACGTCATCTGTCAAAGCGCTGTATCGCCGCCAGAGATGTAGGACTACTCTATATCTCTGATCTATATTTATATCTATATATCTATATCTCTATATCTCTCATCGCCGCTTTGTTATTGAAACTGACAGCTGCTATACAGCTCGTTGAGAAATGAGGTTAAGTTGATCGCTATAAGCTACACCCTACGTCCAATGTGTCAGAGCCAACTTCGACCACGTTTTTATTTGAACGCTCGTTATAATG